GACAGCACTGTTAAGGACTGTTGACGGGGTTTGGTTTCCAATGGTGCACAGATAGTACCTTGAGGGTTCTTGAGGTTCTCTTGGGAGAGTCACTGTTGGTTCTGGAGAAGAGCTTTAGTAGCAGAGTCCGTTAGCTGCTTCAGCGTCTCACGTCTAGCTTGAACAGACCTTGGCCTTGGTTTCCCAGCTCTAGCCCAGAGCTGCTTGGAGGTTCTCTGAGAGTCTTCAGGGTTTGGCTCTGAGGGTCGGCTTAGCAGGTTTGCTCTTCCAGAGCTTTCACGGAGGAAGCACGGGTTTCCTAGAGGCACAGAGACAGAGGTTAGAATCCAACCAGGAATTAGAGTCATGGAAAAATCACTGAGATCAAGGCTTTAGCGCTGACCAACTGGAACAACACTGTGGCGTTGAGGCAAGGTCTGAAGACAGCTTATATAGTGGATCCTCTGATGATCTTGATGAGCTGCAGCTGTGCAGGAGGCTCCCTCAGAGGCTCCACGGCGGACTCTGCTGGAGAAAGATGGGATTTTCTCCAGCTCCCAACAAACACATTCACTAATGTCCGTTAGCAGCACGTATGATGATATCAGTGCAATTACTCACGTAAAATTAATACATCCAGCTTAAAATTGGCAAATGATTAAAATGCATTAACAAACAGCAGCAGGTATGATGATACAGTGCAATTGATTATGTAAAATTAACACATCCAGCTTAATATTGGTAAAATGATTAAAAATGTATTAACAGTAGCAGCAGAAGTCGTTTAGCAAAACACATTAACGGACAAAGTAACTGTGTGTGTGAAGGGGTGTAACTAAATGAGGGACCCCCCCTTTCTCCACGTGGTGAGAGGAACAACGAAAATTGGGGGAGGAACAGTCTGTAATCAAGATGGCTCCGACTGCGTGGCCCCACGCGGCTGATTGTGATAACTCTATAACTATCTCAAAGCAGAAACAAAAGAGGATAGGAAAGCACAGAAAATAGTATAAGGAAGTATCACTCGCAGCTTTCACAACACACTTATTTCCACCAAATGAACAAACTTAATCAGCACAGATTAAAAATCAGCATTAATTCAAATCCCTGAATCTACCTGTCTCTCACGCCAAGCGCAGCACCTCATTAATGGATCAAAAAGGAAAGGAAATTGATTTACTGTGAGCTACCTTCCATCCGTGAAGGGTTGGTGTTTCCAAGGAAACCGTGGCTTGGTTTCGGCCGCGCAGAGGGTTTCTCGGCACCGGGTCCACCCTCGGGAAAGTTCAGTCAGTTCGGTGCTACAGCAGACGGCTTGATATGCTCACGAGTTGAAGAGGATGGATTTTGCGGAAGTAATCGGNCTCACGAGTTGAAGAGGATGGATTTTGCGGAAGTAATCGGTGAGGAGCGTCCTCCCGGCCGATCCGTCCAAAGAAAGGGGAAAACGAAACTCACTCTGCGGTCAGCTTCAAAGGCTTCCGTCTCCCCAGTTGGCGCAGCCGCTATGCACAATTGAACACTGCAATCCGTGACCTTTGACGCAGGAAAACGAAAGCTACTTCCAGTCAGCTTTCTTCTGGTATTTCATGTGAAACGAGCCTCTCCTGACGGGCTTTGGCACCCACGGAAAAGAGGCAGAAGATGTGCACGCGTCGAGTTTTAAACCATGAGTGGGCACTTCCTGTCGAAGTGTCGGCTGATTGGTCTGTGCCATGAGTGATGTGGGGGTACTTCCTGTTGGAGTATCGGCTGATTGGTCTGTCTGAGGTGGCCGCCTCCCACAGTGGGTTGGTACAGTGGTTTTCTTTGTGGAGAAGAACAGGGGGATGGTTTCAGATGGCGAACAGGGGGATGGTTTCAGATGGCTCACCCCACTGATTTAGCTACATGTTGGTAATATATCCCAACACTGTGAAGTGCCTTGATATGACGTGTTGTGAATTAGCGCTATATAAGTAAACTGAATTGAATTACTCATGCCCTGTGATGGACTGGCAACCTGTCCAGGGTGGACCCTGCCTCTCGCCTGTAGTCAGCTGGAGATAGGCACCAGCACGCTTGGGATAAAGCGTGTTAAAAAATGGATGGATGGATGAATTACTCATTTCATTTATCAGCCAGTTTCTCATTACCATTTATCTAAATCACTCGGTTCCACACGGTTCCAACTTCTGTTTACCTGCCTCCTAAAAGTCATAGCCAGGTTATTCAAGCCCTTGCTAAGAGTTTTTGAGCATATCTAGTTCTTTCTGATCCCGACACACTCTGCCTCTTGGCCTCTGAGCCTTCCTGTTCCCATTATGATCTTTTTACCGAACCTGGAGCAAATTCCTCATTACCTTCAGATTTCCATTCAGAACGTTTTTGGATCTACAATCTCCTGGCCCAAACTCTGATCTCCTGGCATCCAAGCTATGACTGGTCTCTCATGATGAAAGTTGCCCTACTCTCTACTGATTGTTCTCACACCAGAACTTATTCTACCTCCCTTGGCCATTAATTCTCCCCTGGTCTCTCTCTGCTCTCTTGAGCATGCAATATGTTTATAATTAGTGTTTTGGTCCATCATATGTGTAGTTGTATGCATTAAAAGTTTCTATGTTGTCTAAATTAGCATTGCTATCCATGGTTTACTACTGTAACGCTAAGCGGACCCCCTAATGTTCCATGATTTAAGGTGCCCCCGTTTTAGACATGAAGGTACAATTTTCTCCGACAAACTTTACAAAAGGCCTTTTTTAAAATTCAAAAATCAATTTCTCAAATACTTTTTAAACACTGGTAAAATGGGGATCTAGCCTGCAATTTGCTATTTACTTACTTATTTACTACTTATTTAATGATTATACTATTTACTTATTAGTTTATTAAGTTATAAATTAGTATTAGTATTAACAGGTGAATACATACTCATAGGGAATTTACACAGTTTTTTAACTTCAAAAAACAGAGTAGGAAAGAAAAATATTTATATTTCAATAAAAAAATAAATACAAATCTTGTTTTAGTTTTCCAAGCCTGGCAAAGTCTCCTGTGGACCCACCACCCACAGAGGGATGCGTCCCCTACACATCCCTCTGTGGTGGTGCTGGCGTCTGGCGTAGGGACATGGAATGTCACATCGCTGGGGGGGAAGGAGCTTGAGCTTGTGCGGGAGGTTGAGAGGTTCCGGCTGGATATAGTCGGGCCCAATCTACAAAAGGCTTGGGTTCTGGATCCCATCTCCTGGAGAGAGGCTGGATGCTCCACTTCTCTGGCATTGCCCGTGAGGAGAGGCGGCAAGCTGGGGTCATCTTGCTCATTGCCCCCCATCTCAGTCGTCAAATGTTGGAGTTCACCCCGGTGAATGAGAGGGTCGTGTCCCTACGACTTCGGCTTGGGGACAGGTCTCTCACCATTGTCTCGGCCTATTGGCCCAACATTGGTGCAGAGTACCCAGCCTTCTTGGAGTGCTTGGGAGGGGTACTAGATGGTGCTCCAACTCAGGACTCCATTGTTCTACTGGGGAACTTCAACATCCGTAACGAACACCAGGTCCGAGTACAAGGGCGTCCATAAGTGCACGTGGCACCCAGGCGCCCTATGTCGGAGGTCGATGGGTGAAGAGAGAGAGAGAGCTGTCAACCAATCAGCACCTGGTGGTGAGCTGGATCTGTTGGCAGGGGAGGAAACCAGTCAGACCTCGCAGGCCTAAGCGTGTTGTGAGGGTCTCTTGGGAATGTCTGGTAGATCCCTCTGTTAGTGTGGTCTTCAACTCCCACCTCCAGACAAGTTTGTCCCAGACCCCAGCGGAGGTTGTAGACATGGAGTCAGAGTGGTCCATATTCTTCTCCTCCATTGTCGATGCGGCCATTCGTAGCTGTGGCTGTAAGGTCTCTGGTGCCTGTTGCCGTCCCCGAACCCGGTGGTGAAGCTGAAGAAGGAGGCTTACCTGGCCTTTTTAGCTAGTTGGACTCTGTAGTCAGCTGAGAGGTACTGGCAGGCCAGGCGTGCTGCAGCTCATGCAGTCGCTGAGGCAAAAAATAAAGGAGGAGTTCGGAGAGGCCATGGAGGAGGACTATCAGCTGGCCTCGAAAATATTCTGTCAAACCGTCCGCCACCTTAGGGGGGGAATCGGTGCTTCACCAACGCTGTTTACAGCGCGGCTGAGGAGCTGCTGACCTCGACTAGGGATGTTGTTGGGCGGTGGAAGGAGTAGTTTGAGGATCTCCTCAATCCCATCGCCACGCCTTCCAAGGAGGAGGCAGAGGATGGGGACTTAGAGGCAGACTCGCCCATCAGCCAGGCGAGCACTGAGGTAGTTAGAAAGCTTCTCGATGGCAGGGCCCCGGGGGTGAATGAGATTCGTCCTGAGCACCTTAAGTCTCTGGCTGTTGTAGGATTGTCTTGGCTGACATGTCTCTGCAATATTGCATGGCAGTCGGGGACAGTATCCCTGGATTGGCAGACAGGGTTGGTGGTCCCTCTCTTTAAAAAGGGGGACCGGAGAGTGTGCTCCAATTACATAGGGATCACACTCCACAGCCTCCCTTGTAAGGTCTGCTCCAGGGTGCTGGAGAGGAGGATCTGGCTGATAGTCGAACCTCAGAACCAGGAGGAACAATGCAGTTTTCATCCTGGATCAGTGGACCAACTCTATACCATTTATCGGGTGCTTGAGGGTTTTTGGAGTTCGCCCAATCAGTCCACATGTGTTTTGTGGACCTGGAGAAGGCTTTCAACCATGTCCCTGATGTTTCCCTGTGGGGGGTGCTCCTGGAGTATGGGTTCCAGGTCCCTCTGTTGAGGACTGTCCACTCTGTATGGCCGCAGCAGGAGCTTGGTTCGCATTGCGGGCAGTAAGTCAGACCGGTTCCCGGTGCTCCTTGGTCTCCGCTAGGGCTGCCCTTTGTAACCAGTTCTGTTCATTACATTTATGGACAGAATTTCTAGGCACAGCCAGGGACCGGAGGGTGTCTGGTTTGGGAACCTCAGGATGTCATCTCTGCTGTTTGCAGATGATGTTGTCCTGTTGGCCTCACCAAACCAGGTGCTCCAACGTGCACCGGCGTTTGCAGCCAAGTGTGGGGCAGCCGGTATGAGGATCAGCACCTCCAAATGTTCTCCACCGGAGAAAGGTGGACTCCCCTCTTCAGGTCGGGAAAGAGTATTTGTCCCCTGTGGAGTTCAAGTATCTTGGGGTCTTGTTACCCAGTGAGGGATGGATGGAGCGTGACTTTTGATAGAGGGATCAGTGCAGCATAGGCAGTGATGCGGTCGCTTTATTGTAGTGCCGTGGTAAGGAGAGAGCAAAGTCAGGAGGCACAGCGCTTTTGATTTATTTTGATCGGTCTATGTTCCCACCCCAACCTAATGTCATGAGATCTGCTTATTGACAGAATGGACAAAATTGCGAATACAAGCTGCCGAAATTAGTTTTCTTCACATGGTGGCTGGGCGCACCCTTTAAGAGTGGGTGAGGAGCTCAGTTACCCAATAGAAGCTCAGAGTAGAGTCGTTGCTCCTCCACGTCGAAAGGAGCCAGCTCTGTTTTGGATGCCTCCTGATCGCCTCCCTCGGAGGTGTTCCGGGCATGTCCTATTGGTAGGAGGCCTCGTGGAATGCCCAGGACACGCTGAAAGGACTATGTCTCTGAGCTGGCCTGGTGTCCCTCAGGGTCCCCCCAGAGCAGCTGGAGGAATTGTGTGTGGATCAGGAAGTCTGGGCATCTTTGCTTAGACTGCTGCCTCTGCGACCCGGCCCCAGATAAGTGGAAGAAAATGGATGGATGGAATTCTGGGAAACCCGTGTCTAATTTATTGTGGCAAGCTTTTGATAAGCATTTACTTATATCTAGTTTTAGGATTATTTGGGAAATAAAACAGTCTTCAACCTATAAAAGAACAGTCAGGATGTTGTCCTCCAAATATCCAGGATCACCACTTTAATTAATTCTGTAATGTTCATACATTTACCAGATTGATATGATAACCACATACCATGACCAACAAATACAGTTTTAGTACCTTCATTGTACCATATTTTACTTTGCAAAAATCTAGAGTAAAGATTGGGACATTGATATTTAGAAAGCAGGCCTCTGGCTATACATTTGAAGAATAAATGTTTTTATCATCTCTCATTGGGAAAATTTTGGTGTTTTTGGAAGCAAGGGGAAAATATACTACAGAAGACAAAAAGTGTACCATTTACAGAGGGTAAAATAAGTATTGAACACACCACATATAATTCTAGAGGTTCTATTGACATGACATTTTCACCAGATGTCATTAACAATCCATGCATTCAACACATACAAAGAAATCAAATTATAGATGTCCAGAAATTGAGTTATGTGTAATAATGTGAAATGGCTGAGGGTAAAAGTATAGAACATCTGAAGAAAGGGGGGTGCAAAAAGGCATGGAAATTCAAGACACCAGACGAAATCTCTCAGTAATTAGAAACCAATCCTGCCCTTACTCAGTGCAAATTAATATCAGCTGGTTCAGTCCCAAATGATGGCCTATAAATAGATATCTCTGGTATCAAACAAGAAACATCTCATGATGGGTAAAAGTTTCTCAAGACCTTAATTATGGCATTGCTTATTGATGGATTTCTATGCTTCTGAATGCTTCAGTGAGCACTGTTTGGCACATCATTTTACCATAAACCGACCAAGACCAGGTGCTCCTTGCAAGATTTCTGACAAAGGCGAGAAAATATTTATCAGAAGAGCCAAAGACATATTGTGGAGAGCTATGGAAAGACCTGGAATGAGCTGGTTAAATTGTTTCAGAGAAAACAATAAGTAATGCATTAAATCGGCATGGCCTGTATGCATGCTCACCACACAAGACTCCATTGCTGAAGAAAACACATGATGGAGCTCATTTAAAGTTTGATGCACAACATTTAGACAATACTGGGAAAATATAGTCTGTCTTGGTCTATAGTCTTGTCAGATGAGACCCAAATAGAATTCTTTGGATGCCATAATACACATCATCTTTGGAGGTCATATTGCATTGCACAGCACCCCAAAAACCTCATACCAACAGTGAAGTTTGGAAGTGGGAATATCATGGCATATTTTTCAACATATGGTACTGGCAAATTTAAATGAATAATAATTGAAGGAAGGATGAATGGAAAAATGTACAGAGAAATTCTGGATAAAAAGCTGCTGCCATCTATGAATGTGGGTGGACATTTCAGCAAGACCATGACCCTAAACACACAGCCAAGGAAACTCAATTGGTCTCAGAGCAATAAAATAAAGCTACTAGAATGGCCCATCCAATTACCTGACTTGAAGCAAACAGATAATCTATGGAAATAACTAAAGATCAGAGTTTGTATACAGTAAGAGGCACAAGAACCTTCAAGATTTAAGACTGTTTATGTGGAAGAATGGGCCAAAATTATACCTGCAACTAATTTCTCCAGGAGGCATCTCGAAGCTGTCATTACCAACAAAGGCTTTTGTACAAAGCATAAAATCCATTTCAGTAAGTTTAATACTTTTTCCCTGTGCCATTTCCTGTTATTACAAACATAACTTAATTTCTTGATTTCTTAGTATGTGTGGATTCCATGGATTGTTGCCAACGTCTGTTGAAAATGTCATGTCAAAAGCACATCTAGAAATATACAAAGAAAGATGGTGAAGAGAGTTGTTTTACCAGCTGTATATAAAAAATAAATAGTAAATTATTTGATCAAATGAACATGCAACTAAGTAGGACAAAGTGAAAAAATATACACATTGTTAATATACCAATTGTGCCTGAAAAACACAACAAAACATCTGGAAAAAAAATACAATTTACAGCAAAGATGTAAAAACATATTGACCTACTTAAGAACAATAATGGATATAAAGATCTGTGATAACCCTTTTTGTGCACTCAGGGTGCAGACATCATTCAGGGGTCCGTTTCACAAAGGACGTTTAATTAAAACTCTTAAGTTTTCTAAACCTGAATATGGGAAAATCTGAATTTTTTGTTTCACAAAGAGAGTTTACTCAACCTCTGTTTCAGTCACCGTAGCAACATTCTCCCCAGAGCTAACCTGGTCAGGAGTAGGTTTGTACAGTTAACTCAGAGTGTCCTTTGTCTCTGTTCTCTTTACAGCCAATCACGTTGTCATATTTCTTGATTTAGCCTTATTATTGTCGTATTTTTGTGGATAAAGAAAATAAAATAATTCACTACGTCCGTGAATGAGGTTTTAAAAACAAACATTGCATGTCCATTTGATGAGGCTCTTATTAAAGAATGATCAGAATTTTTTCACAGAGAGTTAAATATTTACAGGTAGAGGATTCTGCAACTCAGTTGACTGAACAAGAGGTTGTGTGTTTTTGGTTTGTTTAATAGAATAGTGCGATATGCTTATCATTTCATTTATATTTACAGTACATGAAGAATTGAAATTATTTTCAGATTACACTTAAATAGATTTATTAATTCCGCAGGAGCAAAAGGAATTACTCGATGATGACAACCTGCTGAGTCTACTGGCACAATCTGAAGCCATTCTACCGGTCTGATACCCACTAATAACATCCATTTATTGGGATGATAACACCCGAAGCATGGCTGCAAACAGCCACTTAGTATTGACTGTGTAAAAGGAGACTGAATCAACATGAGGAGGCACCCATGAAATGATGCATATGTTCTATATATTAGAACAATGCTTTTAGACCAGAAGATTTCACCTAAATAGATACATTGATCTTTTACCATTCAAGAAATAATCCCATAATATTATTGCGGTGGCAACAGACTATGGCAAGCCATTTTGATATGTATTAGTTTTACTGAATAATTATTCCTGATATCTGAAAAAGAAATTAGAATAAACATTATAGATGTCTAGAAATTAATTTCAGATCTCCATATTCCTTATATAACTGGTCAGCATTTGTAATATTTTATATATGAGAAACTGTATTTCAGATATCATAAATACATATTCAGTCACACTGATAAATGTCAAAACAGTCACTTAAAATGTGTAAATATTTCTAGGTAGTATAATTTTTTTTTTTTTACTTTCTGAAATTCAATTTCTCTACAAAAATGTAATTTAGAAAACATTTTAGTACAGTTCTGACTAGGTTGGGATTTTGATCAGGAAGAATCTTATTTTAATGATTCTACAACAAACTACAGGGAGAGTGCTTTTATTAAATCTAGAACGGCCTGCCATAACCACTTCATATAAAATTACTCATTAATTCAAGAAACAATCTTCTCCTTCGCTATCTTCCTCCGCTTTGCAGCTGTAGCACTATATCTCTGTCTTTTAAACCTATTCTCCTTTTTTTCATTTTTGCATTTCTAGTTCCAGAGTGGCGAAATAGGAACTTCCTGTTGTCATTGTGACTCAACGAATCGGTACTCCACTGATAATGTCTTGTCGTACTTGTTTGCATGTGCTAAACTCTGAGTGGTTCTACTTGGAGTTGATTGAACTAATTCATAGCAGCCATTGTGAAAGTGAAAACTCAGAGTTTCTCATATTACGCTTAAACAATTTAAAGTTGCAGATTTAAATCTGAGTTTGTTAAACCTTCATGAGACGGACCGCATGCCTCAGATCATGATCTAAAAGTAGACTGGTGGAGCAGTACAGACAATTGAGCTGCTGTAAAAAAATGTAAGGAGCAGTCATATTATTTGTTTGATTTGTAAGAAATTGTATGGATTGTTAAATTGTTTATTGTTTCACTGTTAGTGACCCAGGAGATCTGCGGGTGTGTTGGTGTTTCATTGATCCCCCTGTTTCGTTGCTCTAAAGCCAAGGTATTTTTGTTGTCTTTTGCGGATAGCATGCGATTCAGGTTAAGCTGAGCCCTGAAGCCCTTACAAAGAAAAACATACATAAGAGGATCCAGACAGATATTACAAACTGATAATGAGACAGCCACCTCCTTAATGTAGTAAAATGTCTCTGAACAGTGTCCGTGCAATAGAATGTACAAAATTCGAACAACATGATAAGGAACAAAGCAAAAGCAGAAAACACAGACTAACACCAACATATTCCTGCGAGATTTTACAAGTTTTTTGGAGTTAGGGGATCCCAGCTGCTTCTGCTGGATCTCACTCACCCTGCAGCAGGCGCTGCAGTAAAAGAAGAGTAAAGAGAAGAGCACTACGAAGAAGAAAGTAAAATTAATAGCAAGGATGACTACATACAGTGGTTTTGTATGGTTAGTTAGCAGATCATTACAGGTGCTGAGATTTTTAGTTGGTACATCGGAGCTTAGCAACAGGATGCTGTATGGTGTTTCTATGCTCAGGAGAAAAATCCAGGTGGCAATTGAGATGATGTGGCTGGCTTTGGTAGTCATCAGGAAGTGAGTTCCTGAATTATAAAAGATCTTCATATACCTATGGAGAAGAAGAAAGATGCACTGACATTTCTTTTTAATGATTGATATTCTTAAAGCTACAGTGTGTAATTTTCAGTGACATCTAACGTCCAGACTGCAGACCGCAGCAACATGAACATCTCCCCCCCACCACTTCTCCCCCCCAACAGTACGGCGAGCGTTACGGGACAAAATGTCTTCCACGACGTCCGCATCACCTACCTTTTCAAGTGATGAGGTTTGTTTACATAGATAATTTCAATACTGCCATCTATTGTTCAGTACCGTCTCAGTTCATCTCTCTCAACTTGCCATAGTTACTTTCGAGCGTAATGGGCGATCTCGCAATGGCTAGTTTGTTGGCTCTGCGCTGCCGTAGCGCAAAGATGTCTGCCTCCATGGCTGCGAGACCCGCTCCTATGTAATTATAAATAACGAATTCTAAGGCAACGCAAATATTAAGGTTAAGAGGCTGAGCTCGTAGATGATGATAAATAACATAGTTATATATAATATATTACATTTCTGACTGTATATCCCTGTAATTATTACACACTGTAGCTTTAATTTCTGGACTTTTTAAGGCCTGAAATTCTACGCAGTCAAATATGTCGCGTATTGGAACCAAAATGTAATCCTTTATAATGATCATCTCTGCTGAGCCTGGTGCTGGCTTTTCTTGATGTTTTGCCTTTTGCTCGCAGCTTACCGTTATTGAGGATGATGCAAGATAGCCTTTATTGTTCTAGGGATTGACAGCAGCAGTAAGAATAGATGGATGGATTGACGCTTTATCTCCCACAATTAGGACAGTGCTCAAGCCTTTGGGGTTAAAGAATGAGCTGAGGTGGAGATGGATCTCTCAATTTACTACTCCGTTTACATTGCACTATTTAGTTTACCATAGTTTTTTATGGTAAACTAAGGTGACCAAGATTGGGAACTGCTGCTCAGACTAATATATCTAAAAAGATTGAATATGGAAGCAAATTGTTACCATATTTCAAATGAAAAAGCATTTTCAGAAATGCTTTTTCAGAATGTGGCTGCATTGTTTGACTCATAAATGAAATTAGTAATCAATCATCCTATTTGCATTTTCATTTTCTTCTTTAACACCACTCATCCTTTTACTTAATTAAAATGTAAAAAGAAAGACATTTGAGATTTATTTTTCAAAATGTACCCCAGCAAATATATACCAAAATTCAATTTGAAATGTAAAATTTGAAAAAAGGAAAAAGCATTTCCAAAATTGCTTTTTAATTTTAAAAATGTGAATGCATTATTTGACTCATAGTCACCGTTGCCACAGGTCCGTTAGAAAAAGGCACTTGCTCTAAAGCAGCAGTGGCCTCCCTCTCTAGCTCTGCCACTGTTTTGGTCATTGTGGTCGTTCAGTATGTCCCAATAGTCAGACCCGGCAATTCCACCAGTGTCCCACAGGCACACTTATAATGTAATGCAATGCAGACGTGCACAGCGCCCCCCTACCGAACAAGATGGGTAGCTTGGTCAGCAAGGACCTGAGGAAGAGCGGCTGCTGACGTCACTCTGCTGCGCCCGCCGCTCAGAATGCTTTTTCATTTCTAAATTATGGACAGTACTTTGCTGGCAGACCACGAAAACAAAAAAGCAATGTCTGCTTTGTTTTCTCTTTGACTATAGCATAAAATTTGCAGTCTTAAAGAAGAAAATGCAAATAGGATGATTGATTACTAATTTTATTTATGAGTCAAGTAATGCAGCCACACACATTTCTGGAAATGCTTTTTCATTTTCAAATTTTACATTTCAAATAGAATTTTGGTATGTATTTGCTGGGGTACATTTGAAAAATAAATCTCAACTGTCTTTTTCTTTTTCATTTTAATTAGATAAAAGGATGAGCAGTGTTAATGAAGAAAATGCAAATAGCATGATTGATTACTAATTTCATTTATGAGTCAAACAATGCAGCCACATTCTGAAAAAAAAAAATAATAATAAAGAATGTGAAAATGCTTTTTCATTTGAAATATGTTAACGATTTGCTTCCATAATTTGCCTTTTTTGCTGTAATCAATCTAGGCATTTTTTTGTAATGCTTCACATGTCATCCGAAAGTGTTGAAGGTGTTCCAGGAAAATGTAAAAGATATTAAATGAAAGACAGGATTTCTAAGCATTTGACTTATGGTGTAGAGAATAATAATCTATAAATTTTCGTTTGTTTTTGGCAGTAATTTATGAGGGTCTAGGCTCCAAAAATCTTATGTATGATAAAAGGTCTAAACTATTCATCTGGTGGGTAATTAAGTTCTGTTACCTGTTAGCTGCAATGAAGCCCATGAATAGGATGCTAGCACTCATGTTAACAAACAGGAGTGGGGCTCCGATGCTGCAGTAGAGCACGAAAATATTGTTTGAGCTGCTGGTGAATTTCACAATTCGCATCGGGAGACTTGCACATAGTAAAAAGTCAGCAGCTGTCAGATGTTTCAGGTAGATCATCCAGCTCTTTGAAACCTGAATACGATTTCCACGGCAGTGAAACCTCAAAGTGAAGCAGTTGAGGATCAAACCCACCTAAAAAGAAAGTTATCACGTGAGTAGATAGGAACAAATTTAAGTTAAATTATTTCTGTTTAGGACAACCTGGAAACAAGATGCTCACCAAGAACAATAGACTGTAAATCATCGCAAGGAAAGGGCTGTTGGTGTTTTCCAATGAATCACATGTTTCGTTCTTGTAGGCTTTCCTGGAGTCATTGCTGGATGGATTCCATGTATCCATGTCTCTCACGTTGCTGTAAGTTTGTCATAAAATATAAAACATCTCAGTCATTCAGTGATGGATGGATGGATGGATGGATGGATGGATGGATGGATGGATGGATGGATGGATGGATGGATGGATGGATGGATGGATGGATGGATTTTCTAGTATTGCCACAGATTCTCAGTTGTCTTTAGATCTTGACTTTGATGAGACCCTTTTAACATATACAGTAAATATTCTTTGAATTAAACCATCACATAGTAGCTGTGACTGCATGTGACTCCACCCTTCCTCTAAAAGGGTTTATTTTAGCATCGGGCTGGATTCAGCTCCAACCATTTCTAAATCAACTTGTTCCCACTGTAGAAAAGCCTCCCCACTTAGTACCACCACCATGTGCAACTGGGGGGATGATATTTTCAATGTGATATGCATTTCAGTTTTCCACAACACATATGATCTCATGTTTAAAAGGTTTGGTGCAAACTGAAAATAACCCAAATATTTTCTTATATATTAATTCATTTGTCCAATTCATATGCTGATTTGAGCCATTTTTATTTTTTATTGAACAAACGTATCCGCTCCGGCCATACAAGACAAGGCTAGGCATGATGCTTATCTAACTGAGGCCTGAGAAGCTGTTCACCAATGTGAGAGGTTTTGGAATAGAGCTAGACTCCCTTGGGTCCAAGGTTAGTCAACATTCATCTATTTGTGGAAACCTGTCTGTAGCTTATTTTGATTAGGCTGCATTTGAAACTCTAGCATCTCTTTACTTGAGTTTTAAATAGTTATTGCAATCCTTTGTTTGATCAGAACAGACAGAACAACAGAAATGGACTAATAACAGACTACTAATTGCTGCTTGAATGAAGACAACCAAACTCCTAACTGTTAAATAAGATAAATACTTGTTTTCCTGATAACACAGGAAAAAGCATTAAAATGCTTTGGAATTGTTTTAGAAAGATGGGAGATCTGCTGCTTTACAGAATTGGTTGCTATATTTTTTTCATAACCCCTAATTAATTTAAATATTTCTAAGAAAGGAACTTTGTATAATCTGTTTTCTAATTTTCTGCTATACTCCTAAGATGCCATGAGATGAGTATTAAGATCCCTTAAGTGACTATAATCCAAAAAAATTGTATATTTCTTTTTAATAATATGATGTACAACAGAAAAATGGGAGCATGAATTAGAACTAGTTATTGATTAGCAAAATTAATCTTAAAGGTGTTGTGGAGGATTTTAGCGAATTTTTAAAACCCATTTCTCCTTGTGCACGTTCTGTTTAACAGTTGCTCTTCTCATAGCTCATACAAACTGTGCTCGAAGGTCCGCCCTAACCCCCAAATCCCTCAATCACTATATAGAGTGGGGACTATATAGTGGACATATGATCACTGCTTTTTTCTCCGTCTGTAACGGAACTCCTCCTTCACTGTGCAGTACTTGTGCCATTTTTGTTATTAGTCACCGCTGTCGGCTAGTGACATCCAGCCACTGTGACAGCAAATCCCATAAAGCTTTGTGAGGAGCAAAGCATTCTGGGATATATCTGCCTCTCTGAGGCCTTTCTTTTCTTCTCATACACTTTGTAGGCACTTTTTCCTCGTACAACCCTCTGCCATTTTCAAAGAACTGAGGAGGGAAAGGTGAGATTCAATGACTGAAACTGTAGCTCACCACAGATATACGCCTGAGTGCGCATGCACAGAAACAGATAGCTAACTGGGGACACGCACGTACGTAGGAAGACCTTACCTAAAAATATCACCAGAATGATCGACAATTAGGAGGACCACTTATTTAGACGACTCACCCAGAAATAAAGAAAGATCCTCCTCTATACCTTTAATTGATGGGAACTTGCACTCATAACTATTCATAGAATTTTTTTGTGCCCACTTTACTCTGATTTAATTTAAGTAGTATTTACATGTCGCTATTGCTGTTATGATCTTACATTTTGGACCTTTTGTTTCTGTTTAAGTTTTTATTTTTTGGGTTCTCAAGTTTCCTTGGTTTTGTTCTGTTTTGTCTAGATATAGTAGCCTGATAAGCCAGACTAAATGTGAGATAAATGTGTAATTTAGTCTGGCCCCGATGAATGAGACAACGCGTTTTTTTTTTTCAAATCATGTTTGTGCCTCTTGGCCAACGCTCTGACCAATGAGCGTAACTGACTGTGACGTTGTAGCTGGACAGAAAGCTAGTGGGGGAGTGTAAACAAACAGCCTGTTGTTAAAACGACAAATACATCCTTCCTGCTCACGTTTCAACGAAAATCCCAAGTTTAATCCTTCCAAACTGATTCAAAAGCTGAGTCAAACGAGAACTGTTCAATAGTTGTTTCCATCTTCCTTGTTGTGCTTTCTCCAGAGTTGCGCAGCTTTGTCGTCACGCCCTCAAAATCCCGCCCTCTTTGCATCCAGAAATTCAAAACACATCTCTGAGTTGTGAGTGACCCGCCAGTTCTAGGGCCTGGGGCATTGATGGAGGTTAGACCACTCGCAGGTAAAAATTATTTTGGCTGCTGGCAGGTGGGGCTCGTTTACTAGACTATAGATATAGATAATTTTTGTATTCTTAGTTTTATTCTTCCTTGTTATCTTTTTTCTTCAATGTTTTTGTTATTATTTATACATTGGTCCAGACATTGTTTTTCTTATGTTTAGGTTAGGTTTTCCATGGCTTCAGTTATCTCCGTCTCTTATCCTCTAGTTTTTCCCTAGGTAATTCCTTATTTTGTAGTCATTAGTTTTATTTCCCTTTAGCCTTATTTAAGTTATTTTCTAGTTACTTTTAGATCCTGTTTTTTCTCCCTGCTTATTATTTGTTGCCCCATAGTGTCCTTTCCTGTCCCCTTAGCTCCTTTAGCTGCCAACAACTGCCCCTTCCGGTGCAAAATGGCTTTATAGATAGGTTATTTTTTGAAGTAGATAAAATAGATTTGCATGGATTGGAAATTTGACAAAGTTGTTGTAAAGGGCAACCATTACAATACGGTAATATCCCCCTGGAAATTATTTCTGTGGGTGTGTGGTTCTGTCTAATTTTGTTTTGTGTTTTGTGTTAATTGTTAATGTGCGTCACTAAGACCTAACAGGTCAGGTACAGATACAAGTCCATTATCCAAGGCCATAAAAATATCATTAGGGTTTGGATGAGCTCTAAAACCTAAGTGAAACCCTTCAAAAAGCAAATATTTTCTTAAGAATATCAGATAAGAAAGGAGGATTAGATATAGGTCCATAAATAATTAAGTCCTTTGGACAGATAGACAATTTTTTTTATTGGATTTTTAATTACAGATACATTAATAGCCTGGGGTATATATTCCTGTAACAGATGGGATATAACAATCTTATTTATAAAGAATCCCACAGAATCATTACTGCTAAGAGCAGGAGGAATGGACAGTTTAACAGAACTATGGCTCTTTGTGAGTTTGGCAAATGTATTACAAATCTGGGATTTTTCGTATTCTCTTCTATTAATGAGGAGAAATATGCTAATTTTGTTTTACTAAGGGTAAGTCTAATAGCAGTAGACCATTTTCCAGATTAATTACCATACTGTAAACGTGTGTAAAGTGTTATTTTCTCTCCTGTTTATGCTTCAAAGTATGGAGCTCTTAAATAAACCAGGGAGCCAGCTTTCTATAAATAACATCCTTCATTTTCAAAGTGCCTACGTTGTCCAAAGCAGTGTACAAAAAGAAGTAACCATATCAACAAAATCATCTGTTTTCAAAGGGGAATAACTTAAATAGTTGCATTCTGCATTGTTATTCTGGGTTATAGAGAAGGAGAAAAAGGTAATTCATTATTTCTCATTTATTACTGCATTATCTGATAATGATCTGCTAAAGAGAAATTTTAGTGAAAGGGGAGGAGAACTTTTTCATATTTAGTTTGAAGGTTATTATAAAGTATAGTTTAGATATTGCAGCGTTGTGAGGAAATACTGTTATTTCTTCACAATCAATGCCAATATGTCAATAAAAAAGTATTATGCTGAGAATGTGTTGACTATTCTCATTCTAACATATTTGCATATGCAATGGAAGCATGAAAACCAGAGACCTAAACAAGCTCAACAAGCTGATAATTCAGACTGACTCTGTTCTGAAAGCTGCTCTAAAACCTTTGGAGATAATTGGTCAGAGTACATGATTCAGAAGATTACAAACCCTGAGTATCGTTTTACCAGACTGTCATAAAACAGCAGCATACCTTCATCATTTCAAATAGCTTCTTCAGAGCTGCACTAAAACAAACTGCTACAGAAGATGCAATCCTTCAGCATCCACAACAACTGCAGGAAACATACATAAAAAGAGTTACACTATCATGGAATTTCCCTTTAACTAATAGCAATTTCACAGATTAATTAATTATTTTTTTAAGTGAACCGAATTGAATCTGGACAATATTAAGTTGCCTCCAGATTTAGCACACAGTTCACTACTGGAATACATCTAAACCTAGGATAACCAATACTGAACGTTGTTAGGGGAAAAGAGAATGATGGATAATCTCAGAGACCATCAATGTTCTGCTGGACTGTGTTCCTGAGAGAGCTTCCATACTTTCATCTAGAACAGCTGCTCCACAACAGTCTTAATAGAATGAATGCCATTTAAACATTAAAAAAATACATGAGAGAAAATACACAACAAAACAGAATCTACTTACAGCACAACTTACAGCTCGGTCTCTACCTCCTTTCTACAGCTTCAGTACTTTTCCTGATGGAAGGACGTCTCCTCAGAGTTACAATAAAAAACTGGAAAATCTACCCAAAAGAGAAGAAAAGTTATCTGTTTGGAAGTTTCCCAACTGGCTCATATGTTTCTTTCTGTTCAAAGCCCAAGCAAATACACACGTCTATTTCATCATTTTATAGGTTGAGACAATCTGGGGGTATGCTAACTTGCCATGTGGTTTCTAAAAAAAAGTTGTTCATCACTGAGGTTTTGCTTAGTGGCAGCAACAAAACCAAAGCTT